ATTCCTTTGCTTACAATTCCGGGCTCTACTATTAACTAAAATACTTTAAAATAAAGATTTACTTAAAAAACACAGCTAGTTTTTTCTCGGTCCCAATGGGCCTTGTGGCGTTACTGTCCTCTCTGCAAATTTTATTTTTAATCAGATCATGCACTTCTTTGAACTGATCACAGTTCAATTTAATAAATTGTTCTGAAAATTATCATCAACTAACTCCTTAGAGAAAAAGCTTCACATTTTTTTTCATGTTACCGCTTCTTCTTTCTTCTTCAACAGAACGGCGCCACATTACGTTTCTAACTCGAACTCTCTTTTGGCTTCCGATTCAGAACTCAAATTCACTCCCATCGCATAAACACTCGACATCTTTAACAGCGAGTGAAATGCGTCCCATCTTGCGGTATCGGCGCTTTGCCTCACTCTGCCGCGAGGACGCTGGGTCATGTCACGGACCTGCGTCGCCTTTTGCAACTAGCCTTATTGTTACAAGAGATTTAAAGAAAAAATTCTGAAGTCGATTTTGAGAACTTTTTGAAAATGTACCAGAGTCTTCATGTAAAGTACCCGGAAATTTTAGTAGTTGTTTTATCAATATTGTAGATCTTCGAGTCGAGTCAGACGAATAGGGGAATATTAATTTCGAAAATCCAACAAATTCTTTAGGCGCTACTTCTGTTCACGGTCGGACATTTTGGAAGAAGAAGAAGAAGAAGAAGAAGAAGAAGAAGAAGGAAGAAATAAATAAAGAAAGAAAACGAAAGAAAGAAAGAAAAAAAGAAAGAAAGAAAGAAAGAAAGTGCACCACGCATACGAGAACGTAACTGTAGTGATACAATAGAATAGCACACTTTCTCGTTTTTAATCACTTTAGTCTGGATAAGTTATCCTGTTTTCCCCCGCCCCATTCCCAGCTGTTTCTGCCGCTTAAAGGGCTTTTTCTCACAAATTCTAGATCCCCTAAGGGCAGAACTGAAATATGACTTTCTTAATAAAATAGAAGAGTAAAGCCGGAATGTAAACACACAAATTTTCTTCTTTTTCACGTTTTTCAGAAAATGAGCGTTTAGAAAATACAATAAAGAATACCAAATTGCAGGTAATGTACATATTAACGACGTGAGAGAGATAAAAATACATTTGTGTAAATTCAGAAAAAACAAAAGAATGCAACAAAATTGCGCAAATGTCATTTAAAAAAATTAATTTAGCCGTATTCGGGCAAAACTTTTCAAGAAACGATGTGGAGCCGTTTTTGACACAATCTTGTTTTTAATATTGCCCATATCTCACTCAAAATTGCGCGAAATAAATTCAAAACAATGAACATGGCATTGTGTGAATAAGTTTTTGTGGAGAACAAATTTCATTTCAAGATAAATGGAAATATTCAATTTTGTAGTTGTAGGAAGACGCCCAAAAAATCAAACTTATGTAATTTTCGAAAATTTAGAGTTAACAATGAAAATCGGACTTATGCCATCATTATACTGTGCATTTTACTATATTCTTGCAAGCCTTTGTTAAAATTGAGCCAATTGTGAACAATTATGAAAATGTTCCAGAGGCTTCCGCCCCCAAAGTTTAAAAAATTGTTTTCAAAATGGAAGTTTCGTGTCCAATCAGATCGATTGCGGAATATTTTAGAAAAAAATCCTAGGAGTAGTTTAAGATCAGGGGTTCACAATGGGATCGGTGTAGACACCCTGGAGTTCGATGAAATTTTGAAGGTCATTGATGATGGGGTCTATTAGAGGTCTACAGTCCAATATGAACAGGGGCTTGATCAATACAGTCATGATCTCATTAGAAAAGAAAGAAAGAAAAAAGCAACAACTTTAGTTTCTTGGCATAAAGAAAAAAACCTGGCATAATAAAATACAAATTGGTTCCTCTTTCTTATCCGTGGTTCATCTTAAGAGGGTAGAATTCGATTATTAAAAATCGAGATATTTTCGAGAATATTTGTGTATATTGGTACATTAAAGACATTTATAGGCAATTCTTTATCTTATTATTGTGGATGCTGTGTATTATAAATGTAAGGGGGGCCTACGAAGCAAACAATTCTCATGAAAGGGGTCTATGAAAGAAAAACATTGGGAATCACTGGTTTAGATTTTCCCATCTCGATCAGGTTTTTGTCCAGTTTCCCTCACACATTGTGCAAATGCAGAGATGGCCCCTTGTTTTGCTTATGAACGTAAGAGTAGCTTCACTATGTGCACATTTTTTTGTACTCTCCTTTTGCTTGTAGTGGTAGGAGGTAAGGGCGAGTTACTATTTCGTTAGCAATGCAGAAAATAAAATCTGCAGTTCATTTACCGTAGCAAAAACGATTTCTATAAATCGGGAACGAAAACGTGTAGTTTTTCAAAAGTCGCTAATCTCACGCTTTTTTTTAATTTTATTTTTATTTATTTATCATTACCTTTAATTCACATTTCAACCATTTATATTTAAAATTATGGGAAGGGATTCTGAAACTCAAGAAAACGTTCACAGATTATATTTTCCCCCATACGTTACATACTTTTTACTGTTTTTTGATTTAATAAAAAACTAAATCTACTGATATTCGCAGATGGATAGACTGACACACAGCAACCGACCGACCAAGCGAGAGACCGTCGCGACGAGCAGACGTTTTTTATTATTATTATTTTTTAATTTTTCGGTGTCAAGAACCCATGAAGGGTGAAATGTAACTACACAATGTGTTGAAGGAATTAATTTATTACACAATGGAAGACGATGTGTTTACTCTATGTGTATCAGATCAATACTAGTTTTTCAGTAGAAAAATCGGTTTTTCCTGCAGCATTACATAGCTTTCTGTATACTATGTATATACTTACATATACGAGAAAGTTAAAAGGAAAGTAGATAATCTTAAACTGTGACATCAAAATAATCATTTCTAGTTAAAAATGCATGTTCTTGTTTTTGAGGATGGGAATGGAGGCAAAATATTGAACATGATTTTTGCAATGATTTCCATGCAACTACTTCGAAAGATTAAAAATTCATGAGATCTTGATTAAAAATTCATGGTCTATAAACTACATAAGAGCAGTTAATTAAACACTCATGAAAAGAAACTAATAACAAAATTAAACATTTTTCTGCAATAAATATTTTAAATGTAATACACGAAGAAAGCTCGAATTTACAATGTATTCTTTATTTTTAAAACATGTGTGGTCTTACCTGAGATAATTCATATTTTAATAATAAAATTTTTTGGTTCAACCGACTAAACTCTGCTCTCGATTGATTGAGCTTTTTTGTAGTGAACGTCAGGCTGCTGGAGATCCTTTTAACATCGTCTGCGAGACCTTCATTCTTAAACAAATCAATTTAAACATACATTAAAATCAAGAATAATGACACTTTCTCTATAAAATGCAAATTACAAATGTGTAAATAATATTTCATGTTTATGTAAAGAAATAATGTAAGTATGTGTGTATAGCGTAATAGTATCATATAGTATATAATAAGCGTAATCAATGAATGATTTAGGAAGAAGAGCTCATTGATACAAACTTAAATAAGTGTCATTGAAAGGTACTGAAGATTTTTTGCAGTAAAAAAGTTAAAAGAAAGTAATTTTGTTGTTTCCAGATTTCTTCTAAATAATTCTAATTAGTCAAAATGTTTCTTTAAAAGCAGCCACTTCAAACCACTAATGATGAGACAAAATTTCAATGAAACATTCATCGAAGATGGAAATACAAAAAATTAAATGATCATGATCTTTAGATGAGTGTATTCGATTCATTTTAGCACATATTTCAAATTTTGGCTTAAGAAAATGTTCGCGGATGTTAATAAAGGCTTCAAAAATTGTTTACAATTATATCTTTCTTTTCATTGTGTATTAAATTAAAATTTAGGTGTAGATAAATAAAAGTATATTAACGATGTTAAGAAAGAAAGAAAACTATATATTGGGTATGTTGGACGGAGTTCTCTGCGCAAGTAGGTCTATTGTGTTACGAATCGCCGCGCTGAGGGACATGTTAACAAGGGAGATAATTTTGATGCTTAACTTCCGCGTACTATTTTTAAAAACACATGAGTCCAGACCAAGAAAAAAAAATAATGTTTATGACTTCTGGATAATGCCAATCATAACCAGATGCAGACATTCGAAGGCAGTGTCCCTGCAGAAATAGAACCGCGTATGGAATACCCTTCAAAGAGCAATAAGCCTTTATTTCTCACGCAGCAGTGCTTGGAAGATTTAAGATTTTGTGCTGCAGGACATTTTCATCTGGCGGTCGGCGATTGCAATTGAATTTTGACATCCGCAGGATACTCTGTGTAAATCTGGAGGAGAAGAAAAAGTCGTCATCAATTGCTACGGTGAATCACGTCCAGCGAGTACAACAGAAGAAACTAGAGTAGTTTACGACAACTCGTCAGATACGTCTAAGCAGGAATTTAGAGGTTTTCCAGATGCTGATCAGGACTTCGAAAATTTATCAGATTCAAGGGCGTAGGAATTTAGATTTCCAGACAATGTGAAAAAAAACATGTGAATGACCACAATGAGGGCGATGAACATAGAGTAGTTCAACAGCGGAAAAGAGGACGACCCCAGAGCACATTGGGAAAGCATGGCGTGACACTTTGGCGGACGAATCCTACAAGCCCAGGGAGCTCGAGTGATGCTGATGTGCATTTGCACAAGGTGTATGGTAATAAAGAAGAACCAACTTCTTACGTAAATGCATTAAATCTCCTGCGCCGGCTCAGCGGCTGGAAGCCGTGAATGAAGATATTGATTCGCTAAGGAGACAATGCCCGTACCTTAATAGACCCGGGATCCTTAATAGACACTCGGAAGCCACACTCTTTATGTACAGATGGGTATTTATGAAGATGGTGGGTGATGTTCAACGCCTCAAGACGCGACTGGTTGCGAAAGGGTTTTCTCAGAAGAAAAGTGTTCACTATGATGAAATGTATGTCCGTCATTGAAACTATAAGACTACTGATTGCAGTTTGCTTTGGAAAGAAATGGCTCATGGACCTATACGATGTGAAGTCAGCCTACCCCCACAGTGACCTGAAATAAACAAACAGCAAAGGGGCTCCAAACGAAAAAAATGAATTAATCTTAAAATACTTAAAAACAAAGTGGAAGATACTGAAACGATAACCTCAATTCAAAATTGAAAAAAAATGTTTTAGACAGAATAAAATTGACCTTTGCGTGTATGAACCTCCTATATCTAGCACAAAACACCCGAACAGATACCATTCTTTGCAGTATGGAAACTGGCTCAATATTGCTCAAAGCCAAGCCTCTGTAACTCGGCTTTGAGGATCTTCGAGTTGCCTAAAGTTTGGCTGTGAGGATCGTTGAGTTGCCTGAATCAACGAGGATCTTCCGTTGCCTGAAGGACGCCAAAGGCTATGGCGTCTCCTACAGCCCCACCGGCCAGAAACTTGCTGCATACAGTGACGCAGACTGGGCGAGCAGACAGCTGACCGCAGGAGCGTTAATGGGTATGTGCAGATGCTCGCAGGTGGTCCCATTGCCTGTAGCAGCACAAAGCACAAAGGGGGATGGCACTCTGCACCGTGGAGGCAGAGCACGTGACACAGGCACACTATGGGAGGCCTTTTGGCTGAGAGAGTTCCTAAGTGAAGTGTCTAATGATCCAGGACTTGAGTGATGAAACAATTGTGCTCAGCTGTGACAGTCAAGCAGCCATTTCACATACCCCAAACTACGGTGCCATATTCAGGATAAAATATATAGCAATTAGACACTTTACGAATTGAATTGAATTAATGCCTTATTTTACGTGGCGAGGGCCATCAGGCCCCTCTTCCGTCTGTGACCACACATTTTCGCTACGGCTCCTTCACCAACTAGCAGATGGAAAGGAGATAATTCATTTGGGGCAAACAAACTGGCAATTTAATTTAATTTGTAGGGCTCAGAGGCGTCATTAGCTTTGAGAATCTTTTACAATGCTACTAACCCCTAACATTGGGAACAGCCGGCTTTACTTCCCGTGCCGAAGGAAGGCGTAACGGAAGATTTTTTCGTCCTCAAAACATCCACGGCTTCGATCAGGCTTGAACCCGCCCACTTGGGTACAACAGTCCGGTACGCTAACCGTTTCACCATCGCCGCCGCTGCCGCACGAGGTCAAGGATGACACAGCAGAACTAAAGTACAGCAGCAGTAACCAAAATGTAGATATATTTACGAAGTCTCTATGCCAAAGATTACAAGAAGTTCAGTGCAGTTAACTTCATTAGGTTGTGGAATGGTGCTGGGTCTTTCCTTAGTGTTCAGTCGTAGAGATAAACTTTGTTAGAAGTTGGCAGTATTGTGGCGTTCTTTGTATTTGAACGTGAGTAACGTGTGCTAGTTCTGAGTCCATTGAGCGCTACTAGATATGAGAAAGAGCTTATTTAAAGTTTTTAAGTCGTTCTTTCTCAACTATTTCCCACGTATAACAACTTCTGACTTAAGCCCACCATACTTGAAGGACTCGACTCTACAAAGTTCTCTGCAGCATTTTCGTGAAGATAAATAAAATTCTACTCAATACTCATCATATCAATTATTACCTTTGTGGAAGTATTGTGATTCTAAGTCATGAAAATATTTGTTCTCTACTCTGAAGTGAGGGTCATCAAATTTAAACCTTTACTTTCTTATTCCTAAGGATGCACAACCATAGTAACACTAATCATTATCTAGAACTAGGGAATTCAGTAGCAAGAAACTTTAAAGTAAGCAACAAAACCATAATATTAACTTGCGTGGAAATGTAAAATACTACAAGATTGTGCACTTAGTACTGAAACACGAATAGTAAGTACTTTAAATTATATTAAAGTCGATTAACCCGTACAAACATTCTACACTTTGTAAATAATTGTTTTAACAATGAAAGTAGCTTACTATTAGACTGTAAAAGGGAAACTCTCCAAACTGGGAGTTGCAACTTTATATGCCCAGTAAAATGCATGGGAAACGCTATCGGACCTCCCGGAATTCCACAGAAAATCAAATAATCCTTCAATTTTGTTGTGAAATAGTGTTTCCGTAACCATTTCTTCAATTTACGTTTCCTTAGATTTTGAGTTACTGCTCCTATCCTTTTCATGCCATGAAGAAGGGTTCTCCAGAAGAGTCAAGCCTAAAAATGTAATAGAAGTAACAAGAATATCTCATTGTATAGAATACATCAGGAGAAAGATAACTCAGCCCCCAACTGCCCCCGCTCGTTTGCTACAAGCTCCATCCTCCCATATGTTCCCTGAAATTCGTGCTTTTTAGGGACATAATAACCTGATTTTAGGAGCCCAGAAAGCATAGTCACCGAGTTGTGAGCAGATTAATGTGGGTTGCTGTAATCTGTTCCTTATATCATCATCTGATGCCGGACTGAGTAATAATTTCCTGCCCAGCAGTAACACACTTTTTTCCCTGTATTGATGATTTCTTATAAATTGTCGAAAAGTGTCATCTGTCCTTAGCGTTTTATAGGCAGATAAGAGAGGACTTACACATTTCCCATATACCTTTCAACATTTTAATATATTGTGGAATGTTATTCACAAATGTAAGACTTGAATGTATACCTTTAAAGTAAGTTCGTTGTTTTGTTTCTGCAAGTTCTCCATCCCATTTTGGATATCCCGGATCTCCAATTGCAAACGTTCATTTATTGCTTGTATTTCCTCATTTTGGGCTTCAGACGTATCTGCTCTTCTTTTTTCCCTGAGAGCAATTTTGGCCAGCTTTTTGCACTGTAAACATTTACTACCAGTCGTACTCGAGATCTGTAAAACACAGTAAATGCAACAAATCTAAAAACAAATATTAAAAAATCAATTATCTTGAACAAACTTCTATTTCATAAACATATCCTCAGTACTACAAATGTGTTTCTTCTGTTAATGTCATCATGAATTCATATAATCTATTATCAGGATAACTGATTACAAATAATATTTTTAAGAACATCTTCGGATAATTTTTTGAAATGACTTGGAGACATGCATTTTTATTGATCACTTTTGCTTTCATTTCTTTTATAATTATTTCAAGTTTAATCAGGTTTGAAATAAAATAAATATTTTTTTCCAAAATACAGGCAGCCAAGAATGCTTCTTCTGTTAAATAATATTGTGACACGCTTTAGTGCGCTCAAAGGCAAAAAATTATCGGCTAAACATGCACAATGGGTTTAAAGTATCACATGAAGTTGAAGTTGAATTTTATTATTTCATACAGAAGAATGCAATGCTTTTGAGCTAAACTAATTGATTGGTTGGTGAATACGAACTCACATATTTTTTTTTATCAATTATCAATACATTTACTAATTTATTTTTTATCATTATTTATTTTATCAATTTATATTACTGGATAGGCAGTTTCTCGATTAGTATGCAATCTAACAATCTAACAAGGTGACCACACGATCAATTTTCAATAAGATAGCCCAGTTTTATAGGTATGTCCCGGCTATATCCGTCTTTTTAAGAGTTTTACCTGTTTTACATATATATATATATATATATATATATATATATATATATATATATATATATTGTGGCGTAACCAAATTTAATTATATTAATCACAAAGGATCCTTTTCAACGGGCCAGCTGCCCTGACCGCCCACCAAATAGGGTGCCGTTCGCAGCAATCTTATTTACGACAAGCCGCCCGCTCGGCGCTCGCCCGTTGCACGACCCTCATCGGCTGCCGATCCTTAGGGAAGACCTTTCCCCACTTTCCCTTCGAGGAGCCCCCGCGCACTTAGCAAAAAATGACCACGCGCATCTTGGCCCGGAGACAGACACCCCAGACCGTCGCCGGCTGCCGATCACGACGCCGAAGAATTATGTTTCCGAAAACAAAGCCGCCTGAACACGTGTTCGGGCAGCTGCAAGAGATGCTTCCAGAATTAGAGAGAGATCGCCCAGGAAAATTCCAGGAACAGTGCGTCCCGATTGGGTGACAAAATTGCGACGCATATAGTTTCGGCCTATGAGACATCTCCCCGTGAGGGAAGAGGCAAAGCTACGGGTCTTGAGACCTTTTCGGGAGGGGGAAACGGAGGCGATCTCAGCCGGGAGCAGAGTAGAGAGAAACATTACCCATTACAGATGACACGAAAGATTACACTAGAGATTGCTTTACAAGACTTTTTCTCGATCGCGACTTATAGAAACATTGCATTACAGAACTTTGCCATCGATCGCGATTTAGCATTACAGAACTTTTCTACCGATCGCGACTGAGAGAAGCATTACATTACTGATCGGGACTTGTAGGAGAAAAGACGTGACTCTTAGCTAAGACTCGGTGGAGTTGTTAATTTCGGAACATTGTTAATTTCGGCTCGTAGAGCTGAACTTTGCCACCGAACGCGATTTTTCACCGAACCTAAGACCCGCGCAGACTACATGTCAATCTGCGTTCGCCGCATAGTGCCGTCGCGGGCCCATTCAAGTCCGCATTACGCCCACCTGGCGCCCATGTGTCCTCGAGCTGACTCTGTGCCCGCCCGCCTTTGACGACTCCGAGACGCACCACGCCGCCAGCTGAGGAGAAGAGCTGAATGGGGAGTCGGTGACCTGATCACCACCCCGCTTCGCCGCACCACGCCGCCAGCCCTCTCCAGAGCGGGGGTGAATCACTAGACGAGGACAGCCATCCAGCCGGTCTGCGGAGGCGCCGACAACCAGTGGTGATAATCCGATATTTAACCGGAGATGAAGTCTCTCCCCTGATTACGTCACAGGGTTCCCTCGTTGGGTATTCCGGCGAAAGTTTCAGCGTTGCCGCGCTCAGGCAGTTTTTTATAACTTAGTAATGCATGAATTATTGTAGACAAACCCCAATGTTAGTGTTAAGACTTTTCTTCCTAGCTATTAGAACCATGAGCTCATTGCGTAAAGTTGGTATGCAGTCTTTGTCGCTCTCTTGCGACGAGTAACGTCCCTGGCAGCTAATGTTGTCAGGAATAAATTAATTTTTACCCAATTAATGAAATGATTCAATAGATATTTTCATAACCTCCCTTCTCTTCCAGCCATTCATTATAGGAATGAACCAGCGGCCCGACTGAGCTAAACATTACTATATATACTTTACTTTCTATATATACTTACTATATATAATTTACTTTCTCGCCTCGCAAAGTTTTTCTTAAGAAGATAAACTTATATATTCGTCTGCCAGAAAAAGAAATTTCGGCAAAAAAATTCTCATTGCCGGGTCTTTGTAACAAACAAGTGTTAAATGGACATAAGAATGTACCTAATACTGTACATTAAAACGAGATTAATATATTTATAAATTTAATGCTTAAATAGAACTCAGTGTAGATTTAATGTACGACATGCATGAAACTTATAGTATCTTGTATATTAAAACGAGATTAATATGTTTGTACTAATCCACTAAATTTATCGCTTAAATTAAAATCAATGTATTATCGTGTACTTAGGTACATAAAAGTTAATGTCTTGTACAAGAGAGATATTATTGTAATTCGAAATTAAATTCAATATTTTAATTAAAATCCATGTAGATTTTATGTATAATTATGGAACATAAGAGTATCCATATTTTTTTGAAGACTTAGAAATATTTTCATCCGCTATTTCAACTAACAACGTACAATAAACTTAAAATATAATTTCAACATGTAGTCTATTGACAAATTTATTTTTTAAATTCGGATTTACATTCAAATTGGTAACAAATATATAATAAAATTGTAGCATCACATTAATTCTATAGTTTACATTTTTTTCAAAGTCAGGGAAAAAGTCTTGAACATAACTTGTAGCAGTCATTTCAATTTATGTTCCACAAATGTAATTTTTCCGTTCAGCACAAATTTCCCTTCAGCGAATGGGGGGAATAAATTTACCCAACATATTTCCCAAAATGCAGTCAGAATGATCGTCTTTATTTTCTATACATTATTTTAGTGAATCGCAACCAAGTCAGAATCCCCGTAGAACCTCATGCGAAATTTGTTACGACAAAAACGAGTTAGCTTCACTGGGGCTAGTGCAACCCTTGTCCCTATCCTTATTCCTTCCCAATTCTGGCTGACAGGCAGATGTCGCAGGGTGCAGAGCGAAGACGCTACCTGTCCCTGACTTCACTGTGACTGTCGTGACTACGACTACTCAGCGGCCCCTAGACGGCGCTTGTAACGGAGAATTACTCCAATGTGCGCTCAACGCTCTTAGGAGCTAGGAGACGCGGAATTGAGAAAAAAAATACAGTAAATGCAACTTCACTTTGCGCACGTTTGGCTGATCCGGCCGTAATCGTTTAGCGACGGATCAATTGCGAGTAAAATTTGACCCGAGTCAGACACGTTGATTCGTGGAGAAACGTACAACGGGATCAAACTGATGTTGACCCGGATCAACTCGGGATCATCATCTTGATTCCGGTTGATGAAACTGGCCCAAACAGTTATTACTGTTTTTTGACTCAATAAATAAAATTGTTCGTATCACACTGCAACTTCCTAAACAATGTTACATTTTCATATACCGTCATTGCTCCCATTAAAGGCCGACGTTGCAAAAACGCAACATAAATTCATGGTTTTATTTGGAAGTTGTTTGGGGGAAAATATTTAATTTATGTTTACGATATTTATTTTTGGTTCTTTGTTAATTAGCTGTATTTTGTAGGCCCTTTTTTTCATATTTCTAGAACAGAAGAATATTGTTTTAAAAAATGTTGGCTTAAGTTGTCTGAGCTTCATATGTTTATATTTTATTTTGTGCATACTTTTTTCACAAAACCATTTAGTTTAAGATTGTAATTGAGCAGCTCCTCGTTCGAACCATGTGGAGCAACATTCTGAGAATACCGCGCTTTTCCATGTTAGACGCGACGAGCTAGCATTGCCATCAGATGCGAAGTGCAGAAAGCTTAGTAAAAATGTTTTGAAGGCCTTCAAGGTTCGATTCAGAGTGTGCGGGCACTGGATGCAGTTGTAACATGAAGTAAAAACCACGAAATTCGTAAAGAATGGTTTAAGGTGGTTAGAGCGAAATATTCCCTAGTAGATAGAGAGTCCATATTACGTTCAATAATAATTATTTGCGATATAAGTGGGTATTGTGAGATCGACCTAAACTAAATAAGGACTTTTATGCTGAGTTTTATTTAATTATTCGAATTAATTTAGTTTCATAGATGTATAATAAAAATATTTTAATACATAAAGAGCTACCGTTGACTAGTTTCTTAACTAGTACCAACATATCACGTGGTCATGGAATGAAGAATTGAAGCATAAGATTCAACATAAAAAAAACTATTACACAATTAGTACGAGCAGAATCAGAAAAAGTAACTTTATAGACACATATGTATATATTTTTGCTCAGTGATAGCTAATAATGGCAAAAGTTTCCATGTTTGAGTTAGGTGAAAAGTCTTCAGTAAATTGGGCAACGCCGTAATGTCCTTGAGATTGGCATGACTGCTCAGGGTCATGCTTCTTCAAAGTTCGGTCGACACGCAGTAAATATCTCAGTCTGATGGAAGGTTTATTTCCAAAGCGGAATTTGAAAGAGAACGAAATAATTCCCCCAATATCACGAGAACAGTGTAATATTAACAATTTAAAAAGTTTTCAAATATTTTTTCAATGTTTGTTTCCCTCTAATTTTTAATTCTTGAATCACCTGAGCCAATGGTAGGACAAACCTTAGATTGCTTAGCAGCAAGATCAACAGTTTGGTTCTCTTCAACACTGTATAAAGCTTTATATATAATTTCACAGACA